TATTATCAGAAAAATATAATAGCATTAAAAATTGGAAATTAGATCTATTTTATATGTATGTGGCTATAATAAATAATGAGTTATCTAATAATTATTTGCATTTGGCACTATGTCAATTCAACATAAAATTGCTCTAAAATAATCCAGATCTTCAAATTTAAAATACCTATACCAATACATTATTGTTATTCTGTTTTGGGGCTATTTCTCTATTTTTTGGTTGGTTTGTATAGTGCAAGATGAAATTATCAAAAAAATTGAGTTTTATACATACATGCATATAGCTATATCATCACACCATATCTGGATATAAATAACATGCTATCTGATAATTAATTACATTTGGTGCTATAATAATTTGACACAAAATTGCTATATTTAATACCGTAATCATTCGATAGCACTTTTGAGATCTACAAATTTTGAATAGACATTTCATAAAAAACTATGCAATAGCACATCATCGGAAGCATCGGCTAATTCAGATAGTAGAGAAGTACCTCCAGAAAAAAAAATATATAGTAAACAGGATTCAAAGTACAAGAAAGAAAAGAGTGTGAATAAGCTTAAGCAAAAATTATTTGCTCCAGAGTTGTCTACACAAGATTTATCAATAGAACAAAATCAGCTAAAAGGCACAGTGCATATAACCGAAATTTCCAAGATATTATATTCTAAAAAACTTACTTCTAATAACAAATCTAGCATTTATGAGGCCTTATAACATCTAGCTTAGTTGTGCAATAAAGCTTTTGATGCTGAAGATAAAGCAAATCAAGCTAATCAGAAAGAAATTTTATACTGGTGTCTCTATATAAAGGATTTTATAATTTGGCTCAATAGAATTATAGAAAATAGCAGAGGTAAATTCAGTAAAAAGATGACAAGAGGCTTACTGTATAATTCCATTACAAAACAGCTTAATTTGCTTTATAAACAAAGATTTCAAGAAACAGGGTTATGACTTCTCGATGTATTATGAGATAGTTTGTACAAGAAAACTCAAAAAGCTAAGAAAGTCTATAAATTTATCGAATGAGTAGGCCTAGATAAAATCAAGTATATTAAATCTTAGAGTGCAACTTCTATTTCAGAGCTTACTAATGAACAAATTCAAGAGGTTATCCTTTAAATTATAATACAGGCAAATTTGCCTGTGTTTTTATTAAAAAGTTTAATTTTTTTAATAAAAACTTATATATTAATTTTAGCT